AGAATACCAAGGGACGAAAAACATTGTAACATCCAAACAAACACTACAGATTTAATATGCACACATTAGCCCTTATCCTACACTTTATTAAGTTGTAAAAGTAATAAAATAACACCGAGCGACTCTGCAGCCTGTATCAAATATTGGACCTTTATCTCTGACAATACACCTCTACAAACTACCACATTGTTCCGTGCCTCTTTAGCACTGGCCTTTATGCAATATGGATAAAAGCGAACGAGGCACCCTGATTTCCCATATATATTGAAATTATTTATATTAAATTAGACTAAAGTCACTGTATAACTCTTTATTATGACTTTATTAAAATACAATGATTTTATAATGACGCAACCACAGACCCAGCCCCCAGATTTTCAAAAAGGTACTTGTTGTGACCCAAGATCCCTTTTCTGTCTCTCCTTATATTTCCACCCTTTGGCTCACCACTTCAGAAATAACGGCAAGCTAGGGATTTCTTTAATGATGGCCCGAAAGCACTCTCTCTCAGCACCAAAGTAGATATTGATATCCTCAAAGGATCAGCCGCAATCATACACACCAACCTTGGTTCTACACATCAGCAACCCTCACGACCTAACCGTGACATTGGCTGTCACTCCTGTTCACAAGTGGAATGCAAAAAGAGCCTAATTAGTGTCCTTAGAGCGAGACACGCTCCGATACTTCCACCTCACAACTCCTCCTCGAGTGCTCACACATACGCCTGATGATCTGATATTCCAAATATGTGTGGCCTTTAAGGTTTAGAATTCGGGAGAAATATTGAACATATTTAGTCTGTGTTACAACTTGTAACCTGCCACTTTCAATGCTTAAACGTCTAAATAAAGGGACAAAACCCCCCCTGGGAAAAAAAAAGACTTGAATGCACAACCCTTTACGTGATGATGCTGTATCACACATTCATGAACAGCATCATTTTTTCTCACACGGGTCAGCTGTTCTAATGAAAGTCAAATCTGACAAAGTTGAAAAAATATCTATCAGGGACTGAGGGATATTGTCCTGCTTTTTCAAACCAAACCCCACGAGGAATGAGGTATGGGAAACCAGGTGCCAAGAGTCTATTCCATGGCTTATCCCGATGGCACATTTGAAATCGACCCATACAGCCCTATTAAGAACTATAGTGGTTTGTATTAAATATACGGGATAGAGCAACATGCAAGTTATAATATCTATATTTATTACGGATATCCATTGATTATTGGAGTTATAAAGTACCGATAAAGGTACAATAACGGCACTATATAAGACAACACTGAGTGCACAGACAAGTATTAGAATCCCAATAGGGACATTATAGCTAAGTGTGTAGTGTGTGTTTGTGTGGTGTGGTGTGTTTGTGTGTGTTTAGGTGGGGCAGCTGAAGTTGATCATATTGAGGGTAACCACGTACAGGACTTTTGTTGGCCCTATACCTAACCCTTATTTGACAGGAAATCCACACTTCAGCCGTTAACGGGCGGCGGACTTAAAGCCCTCCAGAGAGAGCAGCAGGGGGAAGAAATGGTTTGAGGTAAATGCCAGACGCCGGGCCCTTCCTCATTAAGACGCGTGCAGGTCATTTAATTTTTCTTTGGTCCCTTTTCCTCTCTTTGGTCTGCGTGTGTGTGTGCGCAGGAAAGTACCAGCAGGTGTAGAGGTGTATGTGTGTGTGTGCACAGGGGGCTGGAAACA